TTTTATTTTCAGAATGACTGCTCCAAGCTGTTCAGTCAGACAGGAGGCTCCGGTGATCAAGCCAAGATTGAAAGCTGTCTGTCTGACCTCGTCAACACGTCCACAAAGTTCAAAGATCTATTACAGGTACGATATCCACATGCTGGGATTTCAGTCAGGTTTCTAGCAGCTGTCTCTACGGGGCTTCACTTCACTTCAGTGCACCGTTTTTGACCTTCTTTGTCAAGGATATTCCTACATAAGCTAAAATGTTACAGCATTTACATACACATGGACAAGAAAATGGTTTCATTTTTTCATTTTGCCAAGGGCTGCATTGTCCACTAAAACTACATATTGCAAATAGCAACATTTTTGTCCTGGAATAAATGAACAAATATCTGTAGCGACTTTGACCACATTGCTAAAACTATATTCATTTGGTTCTGCAGTTTGATTTATCCTAGTTTTATGTTGTGATACAAAACAAATAACAAGAGACAAACTGCTTACTGACACGCCCAGAAACTCGTGAGTGCTCCTGGGATAGAAGAACTGTTAGTAAGAACTCAAACTGATACTGATGATGAGATCAGATGCTTGTCTGGTTAGTGTTGACCATGAAGTCATAAGGATGTAAATGAAGTAAAAAATAGTGCTGTGTATTCCTCACTGACAGTTGTGTCTTGGCTGGTTAAACTCCACCAGGGAACTAACACAGGGAACAACTCAGTTTTTCTGGCCCAATTCATGAACTAAAGATGTGAGAGAGGTTTAGGTTTTTATTTTAAGGTCCTGGCTCAAAGGAGCACAAAATATAGGAAATTACAATATGGTTATTGACCAAAGTCAGGGAAAAAAGATACAGAGAGTAGTTGCTTATTTACTGCTTCATAATAGATTCTGTCCCTCATTAGCTCAGGTGCTGTAGTCAATTTCCCTAATGCACCACACCCATCTGCCACCAGGGGAAAGGCCTTCAGGGGCAACACACGTAGTGAGCACACTGTGCATGAACTCAGCAGAAGGGATGGGTGAAACTAACAAAAACATTTTACCCTGGACCTGGTTTGTGTCACTACATATTGAGATTTTTGTTTCACAGGAAGGTCTGACTGAGTTGAACACAACAGCAATAAAACCTCAGGTCAAACCCTGGATCAGCAGCTTCCTGGCCATCTCACATAACATAGAGGAGGTAACAGTGTTGAGATGGAGCACAGTATTAAACCGCAGAGAAACCTGTGAGTTGAACTGCTGTTTTTCTCTCCACAGGAAGAGTTTAATGATTATGAAGCTAATGATCCCTGGGTGCAGCAACTCATCATCAACCTGGAGCAGCTCATGACAGAATTCAAGGTACTGGCAGCAGTGCAACATACTCTCTGTGTAGACTGAACATGCTATTCTAATCATTTAACTTCTGTGCTATTTCCCAGATGGCCCTCTCTCCTGTCATTTACGACACTCTGACCAGCCTGATGACCAGCCTGGTATCGATTGAGATGGAGAAGACGGTGCTCAAGTGTTCATTCAGCAGGGTGAGGAGCCGAGCTCGGCCACCAGATGGCAGTGGGCTCTCTGTGCATTACATCATAGTATGCTGTATCAGTGAATTCAGAAAAAAACGATTATCAGAATTGACTGTTCATATACATTTTAAAATATTCTGTTGATGTTTTCATTCATGTTAAACAGCTTGGTGGGCTCCAGTTTGACAAAGAGCTGCGCTCTCTGGTGGCGTACCTCACCACCGTCACCACCTGGACTATCAGAGATAAATTTGCTCGTCTCACACAAATGGCTACCATCCTGAATCTGGAGCGGGTGATTTATCAGCACTTTACTTTACTTTACTTTACCCACTGTGGTTGTCTGTGTCCATTCAGTCCTTAAAAAATAATTTTATATTACAATTTATTTGTATGAGTAGTACGTGAAGTACTGGGTAAAAAATAAAATGGTGACAATTTTACACTGTAAATAAAAATAGCGGTTTTAATCCCACTTAAAGTAGGTCAGCTCCATCCGGTTAGTTTAATTGTTACACTGGCTGGCTTTATACAGTCTGAAATAAAATAAAATGCAGGTCTTTTTTTTTTATTTCTGTCTCTTAGTGATTCCCCTGTGATGAACTGATTATAGACAGTAAATGATACCTGCAGATACAGTCAGAGTGTCAGTTTGAACACATGCATGGAAAGCTGGGCTGAAGAGGAGCCTTCTTTAGTTTTCTGAAATGATCTGTAATTGAGAAAGTGTGTGCAGTCTCAGAAGGCAGTAAATCAAAGCCGGGGGAAGAGAGGGCTGCAGTCATTTATTTACCCCCAATTTAACAACATTTAGATTTTTCCAGTCTACGTTTTACTGCATTGACTCTAGAGTGTCCTGTACTCACTTGATTCTGTCGTTTCTGCAGGTCACCGAGATCCTTGATTATTGGGGGTCAAACTCGGGGCCCCTGACATGGAGGCTGACCCCAGCAGAGGTTCGTCAGGTTCTGGCTTTGCGTATTGATTTCAGGAGTGAAGACATTAAGAGACTGAGACTGTGATCCATTGTTCAGTCTGAATGTTGTACAGTACACACCTTATGTTGATTTTGAACAAAACAAATCCTGCACAGTTTAGGTTTAGTTTACAGTATGTAGTTAGGGTACAGATAAATCACTATGAGATTTTTTTAAAAGGTTAAAGTCATGCAGTTGTCACATGTCGTAGTTGAGCACAAGTTGGGAGAACTTTTGATGAGGAGGTCAAACATTTTTGGGAATTCAGCATGTGACCACAGATTTCTAATGATGACATTGTTTTCATGATATCAGTGAAACAAGGTACAAACAATAGCTCTTTGCTTCAGCACAGACCTCTAAGACGTTTTTTTTCCGGGTTACCTTATCTTTTGAAGTCTCTCCCATTAGAAATACCTGAGCAGTCATTACAAATGTCATCATCAATAGGCTTAGGGCAAAAACTGAATACCACGTTCATATCTGAAATAAAATACCATTATCAATCCAATAAGATCTTGGGTATGTTAGTGCTAACGTATTCTTACCCAAGCATTACCATCTAAATTATATTTATATTGACTCAGTAGTTTGTTCTTTATTGTAGTTGTTGAATCATCAAGATCTGTGCTGGTGTATACTGTACATTTGTATGTTGGAGCCTAACACCGTTTGGTTCTCTATGTGTGTATTTCTAGGACCTGATTTATCAATGATAACTTCTATACAGATTTTCTTGTAGGTCTGGTGTCTGGGTTCTCAACTAGGAATGTTACACAAACAAGAATATTCAGAAACTATTTAAAAAAAACCTGAAATTAAGCGAAAAAAAGTGTTGTACTGTGTCTGAAACAGACCTGTATGTCCAGCTAAATATAAAATAGAAGACATCAGTGCTGCCATAGAGCGATAACTTATAAGGAAACTGTTTTAGACCTAAGACACGGGTGTTTGATCATTAGCTCTCTATTAATAATGTTTGCATTTTTTTAAGTGTATTAAGACCAGTTTCCAAATGGATACAAATATGAGTTTGATCATGTTTGATCTTATGGGGTCCTATGTTGTCTTAAAATGTATGTTTTAATGTGTTCTTATTTATTTCATGGGTAATTAAAGGTATCTTTATTGTCTACTTGGTCTCAAAATGATTGACATGACCTCAACGCTACATTGGGTCAATAGAAATGATGTATAATGTAGATCTTCAGGTTACCTGATGTCAGATGTGAACAGAGCCACTAACCATGTGACTTTCAGCAGAATCGAAGAGTAAATCATTCATGGGAGTAAAATGCTGCAACCCCAACAGCAGATTTCAGTACAGCATTCCTAAAACATGTAACAAAGTCAGCTGCCGTCTCACTGCACTTGAGCTGTGTTCAAGCATGTGGAGATGTAGCTGAAATGACTCAGTTCTAGTTATGGGTTGGCTGCAAGAGTAAAGAATGTTGTACATGATGTGTAATTAAAAGAATAATTGTGTCATCCCACCACAGTGGGATTTGGAACCTTTTAACCTGTAGCTGGTTGAGATAAATGAGGCCACACTGGGACCGAGTGGAACTGGAGTCTGTCGGTGAAACAGAACAGTAATGAACATTGCACCCATTAAACTGGCAGAAACAGGTCAGACCACTGATCCAGGCTTGTCATTCAATAAACGAATAGCCCTTTTTTCTGTGATGATGGAACACTTTTAACCTAATAAACTGAGAGCAGCGTGCAGTGCAGAGCAGAGCGCTGCTGATCCCTGCCATCCGCCACATTACACGGTGTGCTGATCTGCTGCCATGCAAGAGCTGCCTCAATCTTTAATACACACGTCTAACACTAAATGCAAATCTGCATAGTGAGTAATGAAGTGTTAAAGTGTTTCACCCACATAATGCTTCACCCGATTTTCTGATCTGACCCTAAAACAGCTGGTCTATCAAAATTTAAACCAGAAGAAAAAACAATAAAGGTTTACTATAGTAAATCAGTTGGATTTTTTTAGGGTTAAGCTAAAGTTGATCATTCTCACCAAAATACATGCTACCTTGTTCGCTACTAGGTCTACCTTTTGGTTGTAAGAGATTATAGATTAAACTTTTATTCTTTTTTTTTTTGGTATTTTAGACATTTTTTGTTGGAATAACAGCAATTTCTAGACTTTGTTATGGAATGTAGATTTTACAATTTTGCCTGTTGTTTTGCAGTCATCTCCACTATATGTAGCTTTTATTATTGTTGATTTATTTCTTTATAGATTTATTTCTAATATTGCAAACATTAGATCATGATACATTGTTTGTGGCTTCACTGTTTCAAAATGTGTTGAGTTGCATTGAAAGCCTGTGCAGTTAAAACACTTTCCATGACTTTATAATTAATTACGTGTCTTCTTTGTCTGTCCCAGCTCAGGCCTCTGGAGAACAGCGTTGCTCAGACGACACAGGGCAGGGATCCTGCAGTTTGTTTTTAACCCTCGGGTAGCATCAGACTCCAGATACCAGGAACACAGGGCTCGTTAGGAAAAGTGTGGCTTTAATGTAAACACAACATTCGATTGGCTCAGCACAAACATTCCACATGAGAGCAACCGAGAATCTACTAAACAGAATGGGGTGCGGCACGAAAACATTCACAGTAAAAAAAAATCTGGTATGATCATAATATATATATATACAGTACGGTGCTTTTAAGGTGAAGATGGGATATAGGGACTGATATGTGAAAGGAGTGATTATACAGGAGTGGGAAGGTGAATTCCTGGGTGTACAGGTGAGAATGAGAAGAGGATTTTTTTTCCCTCTGTAAAATAAAAAAAAAGAAACTTGGCTGACAGTGGTTCCTGTTGACTAATCAGAAGAGAAAAGGTCTTAAAGACAAAAACAATCAAAAAACGATCCCCACTTTCGAGAATAAGGCTGCCTCAAATTATATTGTTCTCCATGCGCATTGGTCTATTTCTACACTAGTTTACATGGAAGGGTTCAAGCACCACACGGAGAATCAGATGTCAGACGGGGTGGATGGATTTGTACCCTTCGATGTGCAGATCGGTTTCATGTACCCCAGTTTTTCATGACAGGAAATAAATATGTGGCACGGGATTTAAGGAGGTAGGAGGAGAACGAGGAGGTGCATAGGGCACAAGGGTAAATAAATTATTCAATAATAACAATATTTAAGTTATAACAATAATTTAAATGATAACAGATGATAACGTGAGCTGTGCTTTCTCATCCCAATCCACATGTTTTCAGATGGTTGGCACTGATATGATTTTCCTATTTTCAGATTTGATCGTCGGACGGCTGTTTCCTGATTCTTTTCCAGGCAAATTAAAACAGGTAACGACTTTGTTATGGAGTAAAGAGAGCTGCCAGCTCTGTCACTTTAAACAGCCATTTAAAACAGCCTCCTTCTTTCCAACCATAACACTCAGTATTATAATCATGACCTTAACACACACTAACCTATAAACATGTGTAACTTTTCACAGCAGAAACACCAGGGATTGAATCCAAATGCCACAAATGTTGCATGTTTAACAAAACAGTCACAAAGAATCAGACAATATTTCCTGTTGTGCTTTTACAAAAAAGACACGGTGTGCTCTCTATGGTGCTTTTCTAGTTTTTCTGCCTAATCCTTGTAAAAACAAAGCTGGACAAATCCCCTAGTGCTGTGTCTTCTGCCTCTTCATAGACAAATCATTGACAGACAGTCAGCTCAGAAATCATGATATGACAAAACTGGGTTTTTTACAGCTAAATAAAAAATTAGACAAAGGATCAAAATCATGGCAATAATCCAGTGTGGTGTCTGACGGCAGCTCTTTGGGTCCGTTTGGACATGTAGAATTACGTATTTATGTGTTTTGTTATCGTCAAAATTATCTTTATTAACACCCTCATACTCTCCAGGACAGACTGTGTGCTTGGCCGGCCTCAGTATAAGCCACACCCTCTCAGGTTATTTGCAATAATGATGTCAGTGACAGCATCAAACACTACCTGGATGTTCCCTGTGTCAGTGGCACAGGTCAGGTGACAGTAGATCTCCTTGTTAGGAGAACGGTTCTTACTCTCAAACTGAACCTGAATGTAGCCGGTAGCATCGTCGTAAGTGTTAGCACCTGGAGAACAAAGGAGAGAACAGAGAGAACATAAGGTCTACATGCTTTTGCTTTGCTCTGATTTATGATGAACAGTTAACGGGATTATCTGTGGCAAATATTATAAAAAGAAACCAAAAAGTCACTTAAAACTATTCCCATCAGTCATTATAGGAGGAAGTGTGTAGTGGTGTGCTCCTCTGCTGGATGCTAAATGTGGCTTTGATTTTAGTTTCTTCGTTTAGGAGATCACAATATTTCTGGGTGGAAACATTTATCAGAGGAAAAGACAAATAAATGCCAACCAAGGTCTACTATTTAATGTTACTAGCTATTTATAGACAAACAAAGTATTAAGAAATTAGTGCAGTATTAGCCACGGGGAATACCAGCTCTTGTAAGTAACGGAGGCAATACAAGTTAAATAATGAGATAAGATTTGATCTCAAGGCAGCGCCTGGAGAGAATGAAAACGAGCCATTAGGGACTCACCTGTGTATTCGGGGAAACAGATGGTCAAGGGCGACTTCTTGATCTTTTCAGCAAACAGATCTTTCTTGTTGAGGAAGAGGATGATGGAGGTGTCGATGAAGAACTTATTGTTACAGATGGAGTCAAAGAGCATGAGCGACTCATGCATGCGGTTCTACACAAGAATAAATGCAAAAGAGAAGTCGGTGTTACAATTCAGTGTAGACAACAAGCCAAGCTTGGGTTTGGAGCAACTGAATCTTTTCATCCTGCATGGAAAAATGTACTAACACTATAGTAATATACTATTTTTGATTCAGCCACTCCTATGATGTGTACATAGACTAAGCCGTTCAATGAGAAGAGAAATAATCATCAAATTATAGTTTAATCCTTATGTATTGCTTCAGGGATAAATGCACAGATTGCCTTAGCAATACATTTTTGAATGGGTTGACCCTTGTGTCTCTGTAAATCATGCAATTGGAAGATTTATCTAAGGGCAGGGTATGTCTAAATAAAACATGAACAGAATAAAAAATATATTAAATTTTGTTTATGGTTTTTGTTATATGATTAAAAAGAGGAATCACTCAGATGTTCATACTGTGTTAAACTGCAGACTTAATTCTTTGCTACTATTTTCTCCTGTGAAAAAACTCACACCGCCAGCACATATACTGTTTACTGGCATTTTGAGACTTATTTAAAAGCTCTATTTTATCCAGACCAGGGTGTTAGTTTCACAGCAGGGAGAACAGAAGTATCCAGAGAGCCCCACTCACAGTTGTTTCGTCTTCATGCAGCACCTGGTCGTATCCACTCAGAGCCACACAGAAGATAATGGCTGTCACATCTTCAAAGCAGTGGATCCACTTCTTCCTCTCCGACCTCTGACCACCCACATCAAACAGCCTGAGAGAGTGGGAGAAGTCTGTTGAGTCGCAAACCTATAAACAAAGTCAAACTGACAACAAACGAGTGAATGTTCTACCGGAAGTGAAGATTTTTAAAGGTGAAGTGGGTTTCAACAATGCCAGTGGTCTTCACTCTGGTCCTTAGAATGTCCTGCTCAGTGGGCTGGTACTCTGCTGCTCCGATCCGGTCTAGGCTGTCCAGGTAGCTGGTAGTAGGAGAAAAAAAAAATCAAATGTGTGGGAGGAAAGACGTTTATGTATTATCTGTCCAAGAATGTCTTCTTGTTTCACTCACTATTGAGCGGAGTCATTCAGCTGATATTCTCGAGCTCGATTGAAACACTCCTGAGTCCCGGCATCAGCCCAGACACGCTTCATGGCTGCCAGGAGCTCTGCAGAGTAAGGCTCTGTGTCCTCCATACGACTGACCACATCACAGACCAGCTTAGCATCGGCCTGAGAAACACATTATTACGTTCAATATTTTAAAAATACTTGTACACAATGTTATATACTGTATATAACGCATGTGTGTACAACATTTCTACATTAATTAGCAGCATAACATGAGGTCATCATCAGTTATTAATATTTCTTGTATAACAGTTAACCTATGCTGATTTCTGACATTGTTGATCTCTGGATCAAAAAAATAAGATATATATATATATGTTTTGGTGTATTGTGAAGGCAGGAACTAACTTTTCTGTCTTTGTCTCCAAACTCTATGCCAAGAGAGTCCATGGCTCGTAGGATGGCTGCCAAGCTCTGGATGGTGTTGCTGTAGACCACTGGCTTATATTGCTTCACATCATCCCCCGAAAAGCCATCTTCGTGGATAATCCTGCATGTGTACAGATATTAGCACAGAGACACAAGCTGGGACTCGACAGAATGATGTCCATATGTTCCTTCACAAGTGCCCTTTTGGGAATAAAATCTCTGCATGTCAAGGTAGGTTACTGAGCATCCTCTGTTTGTGTTTGCTTCTTACTGGACATCCAGCAGGACTCTGTATCTCTGTATCTTTCTCGGTACACTGCATCCAACCACAACTGCCTTAAATGTGGTTTTATTAGAGTGGTGGTGCAGAAATTCATCACATTCTCCTCCTTTGATCTGTACTTGTGCAGTAATGCGATATGTTGGTCATTTATAATTTAGGATGAGCAATGGAGTGGAATCAGTGAGAGTGCTAATCAATCTCACTTCACTGGACTCTCTTCTTACAGTCGGAATGCTACAATTCAACTCATTATCATCCAGTTGATGATATTTATCCACCAGAACAATCTCACCATGACCTCAGCAAATCTACAAATATCATCTATCTATCTATCTTTCCTGATGGCAACTGGAAGTCTACCTTTAGACTTTAGAAGGCCCTGTTGGCTGTCATGTTTCAGGAAAAATGTAGTTTCCGAAAAGAAAAGAGTCAAAGTGGAGTCAAAAGAAATGTTTCAGTCTAAGAGTACTGAGAGTTACCAAATGTCATACATCCTGAGGACAATCGCCTGTTTTAAAAAAACATTTGTTTTCTTGTGCTACCGTAGCAGACTCATAGATCAGGGCAGCCAAGTTATATTTATAGCACCTGCTGCACCATCCAATCAATACAGGATCTAGTAAATATATTATACATTTGTCTTAAATTATTTTTTTCAAGTAATCAAGTAGTGAATTGCTTTAGCTATAACAATTATTATTATCTATAGGTGTGCCCAGCTGCAGGTCAGTGATTTCTACCTGTTCTGATAAGAACCTGCATTATTTTATTGTTTAGATAATCTAGATTTTTGTGTAGTGTCTAATTTTGTCAGATCAGTGGTCTGAAACCACCAATATTAAACTGCACCAAAAAGGTGGTGAGCTTTGCCAAGTCAGTACAGTGACTAACAGATAATAAAATTAGTCACAGGTCAATTTCTAACTTGATGAACTAATCAATTCAGCTCAAGGGTAAGTGCAGTTGATGAGAACTTCCCAACGGATCCATTGTTGTGTCTAACATGGGACAAATACACACTTATGACGTTTCTGCATCTGTAACTGATGGGCATTAAAATGTTCCATGCAGCACTGGAACCTGAGCCACAGCATGTGGTTAAACACAATCATTTAATGCTCACCAAACCCAGTAGAGTGTTAGTAACAAATGTTAAGAACCTAATGACAGCGCTGTGACTTATTGACACAAGGCCCAGCAAGACAGGGGTGGAGCAAGGAGGGAACATCGGGCCTTAGCAAAGAGGAGGAAACTGAAGATTATAA